TCTATAATTACAAAACATCTGTCAACGTTACAATTATTTTTAACTCATTATTGAAGAATGGCACGCCATTGTTCGTCATCAACTGTTGAGGCTTGGTTAATGCTGATGATCAACATACTCAAATTCCTATTCTCAATTGACTGGTAACCTTCTTGATCTTCATTAGCCGACTGTTCAGGCTAAAAACTGAAATGGCTTACCACTATAAGGTTGTTAAAACGTCAATTAACATCAACAACAATAGTCCTTCTCAGGACTCTACTAGCTTGGACGATCTACATCCACAAACATGTAACGATACTCTCAGGTTCAAACCATTTAATTTATTACGAATGATATTTGTTGGATTGCCTTTTATATCACTTTCAAATTATCGAGAAAACAAAATAGTGCTTGTTTTTTTACTGTTTTTAAATGCTATGCTGTATAACATAAACCATTGAACATAACTTTAATTTTGTAAACAGCAAGCTCAAATTTTTTTGATGATATGACCTAAAAAGTAATTTCCTCTGACGTATACGGCGCTCCACGCTGCTAAATCTCTAATCAGTTCAACAAGTGCATTAAAATAGCTAAGTGTTTCTTCAAAAAGAAAGTAGCTGATGTAAAATTTTCAAACTATGGCGATCCTACAACAACAAATATCAAGCACTACCCAAAACATTGTTATTTCTTAACATCAACTACATACTACGGAGGCCCAGAGATGCCAATACACAAACGCAAATTCAAATACACAAACGCAAATTCAAATACACAAACACAAAATCAATTACACTAACGCAAATTCACACACACAAACACAAATTATAATATGCAAAATTCATATCCGGTTAATTTGCTCGCCAAATGTGTTCTGAATTTACAAAGTTGCCGAAGTGCAGAATATTGTCATATTCTTATATTTTCGTTTTATTTCGAGAAAGTAAGATAAATGCAAAATATTCGTGAGGTATTTATTACATTTAGCGTTCATGTCTATGTTCGTATTATCTTTTCCGGCTGTTGGTAATGTGAACTTGAACACCATGTTTTGTACAGTATGCAGGAGTTCACTAAATACAAGGGTAATTTTTGTGCTAACAGTGAGACGGATCTTCGAAAGTCTGACGAATCAAAGACCTTGCGGAACAGTGATCCATCAACATCAGCTGGGCCTTCTAATGACCTTGTGCCACCAAACCTTTGACTTTTAAAGTGTATTTGGCAGATATTTCATTTGCCACTGTTGAGACAAGGAAGCGTCAAGATTGTTGTCTCCACGAAAAAGGGGAAGAAGAATGAGACTGTCAAGGTTTGTGATTATTACTACCTCTGCAAATAGGTCATGTCAATAATTATTTGAAGGATGGGTGATGTTCGTGAATAATTATATTCAATGCTTGTTTTTATATAGATGTTAATTATGTAATTCCCACCTATGTAAGCTGAAATATAAAATGCTGCTATAATACTTTGTTGCATGCTTTAAAAATCAGGCTCAGGTTTTCACGGAGAAGGATGGAATAGTATTTCCATTAAAATGTCTAATTATTTTTTCATTATTTATCAAACATTTTGTGATGGCAGGTCATGAGCACCTTGTAACTGGATATTTTTTCCACCCCAGATAAACATTGGAATTATTGAGCTGGATGGGAATTATTTGAAAACTAAGCGAGGCTCACTTTTTCCTACTGATGTAAAAAAATGTGATTCTCATGAGTCATGATGTCATAGAAACTGCTAGGGTGGAGAAGCAATAGGCTCACAATAAGCAACTCTGTGATGAAAGTTCCGAATGGGTTTTGTTGTACCCTAATATGGAGTTTTATGTTTACCAGGCACAACAGAAACATTTTCTGTAGAAAAGTACAAGGACTACCTTGCAGGCCATGCAGTTATGTCAATTTGCATGTTAGCAAGACTTTGGATTATGAAAGTGAAGAGGTTTTCTATTAATTATTAAAAACACTTTGTTAATGCGTAGGCAATTTATTAATGTTGATTAACACCTAATTATGAGCATTTAACAATCAAAGTAATTCTGTAAGCTCAAGTATATAATAATTTTTGCACCATTTGGTTAATTTTATGAAACTATCATGCTACAAATAAAATTAAACACTTACTTTATAAGGAGCTAACTTTAAATATTACACATTAATACTGTAAAAGGCAACATTCATTCTGATGTTATACTTGAGAATTCCAATATGAGTGCATAAGGAAATCATCAAAAGTGTGTTATGCAACAATCTTTTTTTAAATAAGTTACATTATTGATAAAAATACAAATATTTGTTTTGTAGTTGCTAATGAATTAGTTGATGATGTTGTGGAAGAGCAATTAGATTTGGAAGACATGAGACTAACAAAGACTCAAAATGAATAATTGTGCACAGAATCACAGCTTGGAGAAGAATCACATTCCACAACTTTGGTTTGAATGTCATCTATTGATTATGCAACTTTAACACCACATGCACTAGAGAACCTCCAAAATTGTGATGCTTTTGAGATGAATACTTCCCAAGGTTTGTGAGTACTATATAGTCTACTTGTTCTTGTCAGTCTTGTTATGAAAAAGATGTTCTAGTTACATAGTATAGAAGAAAAGTACCACTAATTTGATGTTCAATTAATATTTCATGAAATGATGAGTGGGTATTGTGATGATGGTGCAAAATACCATTGGGAATTCATTTAAAGAAAGTGGATGAATCGAATTTGAAAATAGAACAGTCCAAAATGTTGTGGCTTTTTACCCATCTTTACTATATTAAGTGTTGTACATCGCAAATATTTGTGTTTTTAGCAATCTTATAAAAATTTGCACAAAAGTTGCTTTTTTATCGGCCTCGAAATCATCCCGAAGGTCTGCTGTTTTTATATCACCTAAACTCTTCGATATTTCAGGTATTTTTCGTCCGTACGTATCTACAAGCTTATAATGAAACGAATGAAATTACGTTAGACAAGATTGAAAAAGTTATTGACGAAGCTGACAGGTAAATTTTATAACAATTGTCCTCTTATATCAATATTACGCAAGATAAATTTTTAAAATTCTTTTTTAGGTTTCTATGGGTACGTATGTCTTGACTGATTCACTGACGTAGTTCTCGTTTATTTAAGGTTCAGTTAAGTCAGTTAAGAGTTTACTGACATCATTTAGGTCAGTTTTAAGTATACCTAGGGCTTGTCAAGTTATAACTGATGGAATTAATACATAACTTTTTAAAGCAATTCTCTTTTTTATTACATTGCCTATTCGTGTACTCTTTTAGCCATTGTACGCAAGTGCTTACATATTGGCGTCAGTTTTGTCTTTCTGCGAATAAATGTTTTAATTTTACGTATGTTTTAAAAATATTCCTGAAACATCATTCAGCTTTGTTTTCCTTTTCTTCTATAGATTGTCTCTTCTTTCTCATTTCTTTTGGGCAATGTTTTCAATTCTTCAAAGTTATAAATCCTCGATCAATTTTGGTTATCTCGTAAGTAGATGAACAGTTAAATAGTGTTGTTTACCGTTAGATTTACATCACGTGACTGAATTTGACTTTTACCTTGTTGTATTGTCGTACCGTGGTATTGTATCCTAAACACCATTTGCTATTTTAAAATACCATATCTTATAAGGAACATTCTACATCGAACAATCTTAGAAATGTGCAATACCACTTCATCAACTTTTTGCATATAGTGTGCGTTATTTCTTTACAAATATTTGTGTAAATGCATGGTCTTTTGCACTAAGTTCTTTCCATGTGGATTTGTTTAGAACAGATGTTAGTCAGCAATAATGTCTTATGTGTATCAAACTTGTACAATGAGCACTATCATTGTGAACAAACGTAAAAGCAACGTAACACTTTGCGAAGATTTCTTATAAGTTTACAAGAAGGATTTTGTGTATAAATTTTATAGAATCAAATCACTATAAAGCAAATCCCATCCGCAGTAGTAACCATGCAAAGGATCTTGAGTGTGTTTTATTAATCTGTCATATAAGGTATTAAGAAGCGTCAGAAAATATCTGGAGAAATACTTACGTGCAAACCTCCACCTATATAGGAAATGTTACGCAAATACTACATTTACTGCATGATGAAAAATTTCAGTACCTTTCATAAAACCAAATTGTTTATGACGATTTTTAAAATTATTTGTTGGGCTCTAATATTTATATTGAGAATCCGCTTCCCGCCTGGCACTTCATTGGCAACAATACTTTTAACAAAAATATATGTATGCTAATACTTCAAACTAGAAATAGGTTTTGGTCACAGATTTGGATTACGAGATTTTGTGCACACAATTCTGAGAGTACTGCAGTAGCCTGCCCTTCCAAGTAAAAGTAGGTAGAAATACTAACTCACTTAACTTTTTCGAATGTAGTCCCTGCCTCATCAGCTGCCTTTTGTATTGTTTCATGTTTCTCCTTTGCCGTTGTATTCATTCCCTGATCGTAATAAGACTTCAAGATAGCTTTTTGCAAGTCAGTTAATACTTCATACTGTATTCCAGTTGCCTCCATGTTCATAAGGTACACGTGTGTCGTGTGCATGTCGTTGATGATATATAGATTGGTGCATATATAAATTAAATATGGCGTCAACAAGAACGCTTAGAGGATCTCCTACATCACATACATGCGACGTTCTCCATTCAAGAAGTCTTGCTTCAGACGATTAAGAACATGCGACATGGGTAATGATTTGAATTTTTCAAAATCGGCTTTTCATGACAAACTGTTATTTGTAAATAGACGTCTTACCTACAGATATCTAGAATTATTTGCAGGTAGTTGACCAATCAAAAGTGACATTGTTTACATAGTGAATAATGATGTAAGATAATTGCATGAAATGCATGGTACATCAAGATTGCGGGAAACGGGGCGAAAAGATAGAATTAGCTACTTCGTAACGATCGTTTTGCACCGGTTTCCATTAAAAAAATGCAAGCGCGTAAAAGGTGTTTCCGGTCGTTTCTGTCGCAAGGATAGAACTCTAGTCTATCTCAAACGATCGATACGCAAGGATCGTTTCTAACGTAAGGATCGCTTTTGTCGTTTGAGTTGAGCGTTTCCATATGATCGTCTCTGTGGCTTCTACAAATTGCAAGCGACAAAGACGATCCTTACGACAGGAACGATCATATGGAAACCGGGCTTTAAAGAGCAACATCTCATTAAAAAAATGAGTGAAATGACGTAACATTAGAATCATGTAATTACCTAAATCAGCTCTAATTTTTAGGGAAAATATTAGAAAAGTATTGTTTCACCAACGCATTTTTAACAATTTCATCAAGGTTGTTTTAAAAGACATAAAAGCTAAAATGTTTTTATTATATGTTGAAAGTTTCATTAGAAATAATGATCAAATTTATAACATCACAGTCTTTGGAAATTCTTTATGGTTTTATTTTCATCTCAGTGAACTTTAAGGAATTATCATATTTCCAAGTATTCCAAATCACACCTTTGTAATTGTTTTGGTTGCCACTATAGTAGTGTCCATTCAGGTTAGAATCATAACAACTCCTATACCACCATGCACCTTTGGCGTCAGAGGCACAGTTTCCTCGACGTTCCTTATCATTATCTGAATCTTTTGTTGTAAACGCCATGCTTTTATGATAAGATAATGAATCTCCAGCATTTCCTAAGAAAAATAATACCTTTCAAAAATCGCATTTAATGCAGTTATAGAATTCTTTTGAACTTCCATTAACACAAGTTTAATGTATATATCATTTAGACATTGACACTTGCATTTACAATTGATTATTAGAGGCTTAGATATAAAAAGGACTTCAGTCAATCTTCATTTGACATTTGTGAGCGCGGAGCCGCCATTTTCGTGACTACTTGCAAGTTAAACTTGTAATAAAACTGTGTGAAATTGGTTAATGAGCAAAAGAATAATAAAATTCCGCCTTGTTTATAGGAAATTTTAAACATATCGGAAACCACAATCAAGCTTTTGGCGTTTTTGTGAATAATTACTGCAAACCAAACTCAATTTCGCAGATTTTAGATACATTGACTAGTTTGTGCTTTTAAACTAATCGTGACCCACTGCTAGACGTTTTTACGTATGTGAACGTATATTCTCGCAGTTTTCTACTACAGCACCAAGATATTTGTTTTCATTGCTTATAATTTACCAGCGATAAAGAAAATACTCGACATTTTGGCTGCATATTCCTGTTCGGGAAAACACGTTACTACACATATCTCCAGATTTGAATAAATGCTTTGACAGGTATAAGGTATGTAAAAATAAATCACTGCAGCTCATTTTTGGTTATATTTACATTTAGAAAACGTAGAGGTGACTCAACTGGTAAAAATATATTCTTTAGAAATTCACTACTAATAATCTTATTCTAAAACAAAAAAGTATTTTGAATTTCAATTGAGCTGCTATAATTTATTTTGACTTAAACTGTGCCTACCATTAAATTAGTGTTATCCAAGTTTTGTTTTGAAGCACTGTGGTCGTGAAATTTTGCTTAGGTAGTACATATTTTGCAATGTAGTCCAGGGATAAAAATTTAATGCAGATAGATTACAAAAAGTTTTTGCTGGAAAATTATGAATTTAAAATATTTGTTAGATGCAGTAGCTCTTATATTCTATTTATCTAATGTGAAGTTGTTGATTTCTTATTGATTGTGAAACTGAGATTATAGTTAAAGTTTAACTCTAATGCAAAACGGTATAGGCTTCTATTTGGTGAAGCATTTTTGAAAAGGAAATTATGTTTGTGTATTATAAAACAATTCTGCTGTTGAAGAACAGTCTTGTTTGCTACAAATGTCACTGTTTGTACAGACTTTGACATTGTATATGAGTCTGATCCAAGTTTTAATCTATCTTAAAAAAATAATAAGTTGAGTAATGACAAAACTTCTGCATGTTTTCCAAATTATAAAGACCAAAGACCACACCAAATCATTGATTATGTAAAGACCAGAACAAATCATTGATAACCAAATTGAACATGCTCTGGTTTGAAGTACAGTCAGAATGTGTATTTCATTACCAGTAATGTATTTTACCCAGCTGTTTCAGTAAATATTTTATTTATGATTACTGATACTATACTTTCAAAGGATTTCCTAAAGATGCAAAATACAATATTCGAAAGTATATTATTTTAGCATATTGGATTAGCAATAATTATCTCTTGAAGTGGTTAAGAACTTGTAAATTAGAGTAATTTCCGAACATAATGATAAGTCATAATCTCTCTATAAAGAACAGGCTTTGTATGTAAGAAAACTATTGAATCGTTAGCATTAGGAGAAATATTTCCAATGATTTTTCACTCGAAAACAATCTTCGTAAATAAACCTTTAGATAAAGATCAGTTAGACACAATGGTCACCACGCGCAATCCAATCTATCGTAAAGCCATTTCTTTCTTTTTTCCCGATCCATGATTCTGGCGATATGCAGTTACATGTTTTAGCTATCAAATAATCAATTATTGTAACCATACCTCCAAAAAATCAAAATATTTTCTCAAAATAAAAAAAACTTATAATAATCGCCATATAAACACTAGTTGAAATTTCAAAATTAGGAACGAAAATGGCGGAAATTAATCATGTGGTCGATATTGTCCAGTCAACGTTCGCAAACCAGAGAACAATACATGTCCCAACTCTTACAAATAGAGGGCTCTGTTCGGTGTACGTAAAGTTTGACGTATGAAACAGACCTTACTTAATGGCGTACCTGGGTATTTTCCGACGCTCAATTGTTATATTTGTGTTTCATGCTTATAAATGTGAATTGTCCATGTAAACTTAAATAAATTTCTGTTATGTTTAGGTTGTTGCTAAGTTCATAAAAAACTTTTACATGTAAGAACAAGTTATAATGTATATAACATTTAGGCATTGAAACTTGCATTTGCAGTTATTTACTAGGGCTTACTTCAATGCTTGCATTTTATAAAAAAGATTTCACTCACTGATCATTAGACAATGGTATTCACAGTATAGATTTTTTCTTATGTACCAAATAATTTAGTTGTGTTTATTACCTACATGTCACTCATGTGCTAGGTTATCAATACGTAATTTACAAAGCTGCAGTTGAATTTGCATTTAATGTTGATGATAAGTTAATCACAATTATTACATGTCACAATCAATCTTTGCAACAGAATCGTTCGAAATTGGAACGACTTTTTACTTTACGTTTGTTTGTTGTATTTTTTCGGTAAGTTTTTAAGTTCAAAATTAATTATATTTTTATTGACAAACAAGGCTTTAGTTCGAAACCAACCGTTACAATCCGTTTTTTTCAAAACTTGGAGAATCCCCCGTTGCAAACTGTAATCACTCAAATCATTCAAAAATATTGCATATATCGAAATATTTTTCCTTCAAACGTTTATATTTACGTATTAACTTACCAGAATATTTACCAAGACTTAGTTGATATTTTTTATTTTCATTCTTTACAGCAAAATAATCATATTCAGCATATGCTTTGTTTCTAAACCAGTCTCCCAGGTCAACACGAAGTTTATTTCTCTTGGCTGATGTTAGTCGGTATATTTTATTCAATCCTAGCCCGAATTCGCCTTTCAGATCACCAAAACCTTCCTTATAGTCATTCCACCCACGATAGAAATCAACACTTCCATCTAGGCGTCTTTGAAATACAGTCCAGCCACCACCATATGAAGTCATGTCACAGTAGACATTAAAAGATCCTTGACCATCAGGATCAATTTGATAAACTCCACTTTCGTTCTTGCCATTATTTTGTACCTCAGTGCAATCTTTGGCTATTTAAATTGAAAATGTTAAAAATTCAGTTTCGCAAGGTTCTGTTATGATAGGATAAAGGACTGAATTTTGTGAAAAAGTGTTTTTAAGCGAATGAAATCAGTACTAGGTATTCTTATTATGTTTCATGTTTCACAGGCTGGAAACCTACAGAACACAAGCATTGCATGTAAGATATGGATATTATTGACTACTGTGAATTACATTTGAAGTGGGGATGCTGTTTTGTAATGCACTCAATTTCAGAATATAAAGTCAATTTCATTGTAATGTGTGCTTACATGAATTTTTTTTATATCTGAATAGAAAATTCCAGTCTAACTCTAATAGCGTTAAATTAAATAGTAAGAAAGTCATTTGAAATTTTATTAAACCCAGTAGAAATTTAATGCCATCTACTGAAAAACGTTATTACCCATTATTAAACATACATTTTCTGACCTTATTTATATTACCTCTTAAAAATATTGCTTATTTAGGTTTTTAAAGGAAGTGAATTCTTAATAGTAAAACCTAATTTTCTTACATCGAAAGTTAACAGGATATGTATGAATGAACATTATCAGTGCATACCATCCATACTAAGCGGCGGATGACTGATTGCGCGGCCTGTAAGCTTAGAAAAATTTGTGGGACTTTAAGTGATATAACTTTCTCCCAAAAATTTCAGTCTTTTGACGACGTTTCCGTTTCTTATGCTCCATTGCTTTTGCTTCAGTTTTGTTACTCATAGTGTAAACATTATAGAATAAATTTAAATTTCGAACGAGATAAACTCACTACTTTATGAGTTCTATACATAGAGCATTATAATAGTATATCGTACAGTTTCTAACAGGATATATTATTGAAATTTTGATCGTTTATCTCATCTAGAATGGGAAAGAGTAAAAACTATGTTTAAAAAGAACAGGTCTTTTAAAAACGCGGGAATGTAAGCTTCAGCCTACATAGCCTACTGAGTAATCGGACAACGGCCATATTTGTCTGTTCTTGGAATAAGTTCATAAAGCTACAATCTATTGGTTGAAGACATTTGATGTAATATTATTGAGGTGCACTCATTCTAGGAGGTCTGGAACTGGAAGCATGTCTGTCAAAATGCTTTTTAAAGTTTGTATTTACAGAATTCTTAGTTTAGGAAAGCCAACCAATAATAAACTCAAGACTGTCTAATATGGTGTATCTAGGTTAGCAGGGCCATAGCTAGATTACTAACTTCAGGAGGAGTGTTAAACTTAACCTTAACCCTTACCCTAACCCTAACCCTACCCCCTCCTTAATGTAGAGAAACTCAAAATGTGTTAATGTTAACATATGCTATTGTCATTTAGAGAACCATACACTTTCAATGTTGTGTGCTGAGGAAGTTTTAAGTGTATTGAAGCTTTTCATAAATTTATTACTGATTTCCTGCTTGATTGTATTGGTAATAATGAACTTGTGTGTGGCTGGGAGCCTTATTTTTGTGGTTACATGTAAAATGTAGATGCAGCAAATTCCTTGCACAGAAGCAACAGCACAGAGAACAGCTCAGGATTCTCAACAAAGAACAAAGTTTTAAAACTGCACAGAGATGCTCTTTATTCATGATCGGTGATAAAAAATCTTTATAAAGACAGTAATAAATCCATACGTTGGCACGAGTTACATTCTCCTGAGTATCCTCTCCTGAGTATACACGTGCAGTTCAATGTTCCATTAATTTTACGATAGTATGTGTTGGGTCCACACAAAGGAAAGTGAAAAGTGCTTGTCGCTATATCGATAAATAAAATTAAAAATAAAATTAATCAGGGATTTTAAACGAAACATATTCTTCCTCAAAGAACGCAATTTGTCACTCAGTATCCGCGTTGACGTACCCAGCAAGCAAGTTTGCTATGCAATGTTGGTAATTTTGGTGTTCGCGCATTTCGTAAAAACAAAACAATTAAATAAATGTTAAAAATTTACAGAGTATGAACAAATTTGCTGGCTGTTTGGGACATTATAAGGGATATACTAAAGAAATTAGATAATTGAAAAATGTTCAGAAAATTATCATTTCATCAGTACTTCTCACAAAATGTGTCAAAGCTCATATATTTTGGCATGGCTTTGCCTTGTTTATTTAAAGAAAAATGAATGAAAAAACTAATCTCAAAAACCATGTGAGTACTTCGTAATCGCCTCAATTTAAACAGCATGCACAAAGAAAATGAAAAGTTTCAAATCTAGTTTAATCCAAAGATGTAAAATTTAAACTCTGTTTTGCAATATACTGAAATTTTAAAAAATTTGATAAACATTAAGCTCACTGCAAAACATGCTCAATTTGGACGTTTTTCAATCTATTTTTATGATTTTTTTTATTGAAGACTGATTTCCAGCCCAAGTAATTGTTTAAATGATGTAAGAAACTATAAAGACTTAAATTTAATACCCAAGAAGTTTGATAAGAATAGACAAACGGCAAAAATGTCCAAATTAGACACTTTGCACTTTGAACTTAATGTTCATCAAATTTTTTATAATTTTGGAAGGAAGAACAACCGTTTACTAAGGCAATGTAACTTTGAACTTTTTAACGTCTTTCTATTTTATGAACATTAGCGTGGGAGTTTTTGCAAGTCTTAGATTATTATGTCAAATAAGTAAATATTTAACTACCGTTTGAGTCAGGAGTGATACTGTGCATAGCTACAGCCAAATCAAGATAAGCGTTGTTTACAGGAAGAAAATATTTACGTCTCGTACGTTGATCTGTTGTGTTATGGACACTAACGACACTTCGTCCAACACTAGTTATGATATAAATGAAATCCCCAAATACTGCCATGGGACCTCGTGAAGTTCCAAAATCAGTTACATTTTGGGAGTAGTAAACATAGAAAAATATTTCCGTTTGAACTCGCCAATAAATCTTCTCTTTAGCCATGTCAAGCGTTAGATCATGTGCTATTGACTGAAGTGAAACTGAAAGAATATGATGTTTATTTGCACTCACGCTCCATAACCATAAGAAAAGTTCTGTACTTTCTGCCAAGAATAGATACCTTAATAAAAATATTTGTTTTGTACATTAGTTTTCTCTATACGTACTGAAATACATAAACAATTGGCAGGCTAATATATGCAAGAAAGGAAAGATAGAATACTTTTTTAGTTTAGACAAAGATGTTGTCAAAGTATTCGGAACTACTTTCATATACAGACGGTTTAATGGAACATATTCATAAAATTTGATGATATAGCAACATAAAGCTATTGTAACTAACAGGAAAAGATCACCTTTATCATTTGAAATCTCTCTTTAAAACCGAACTAAAATATATGAAGTAATTAAACATTGCATGAGGTTCAGAACATAATAATAAATGTAATATGCTATTTTTATTCACATAACTTCTATAATGATTGGTATTGTTTGCGATTATTGTCGGAATGAGTAATGCTGTAGTTTGGAGTGGCTGCTGAAAGAATTGTGTTGGTAATTGATAATGCTGAAAATTAGCTGATGCGTGGAATTTTTGTTCGAATTGAAAATTTGGTGTTGGTAAATGTTATGCACCATTTCATGTAGATTTAAAATTAAGAAAGCTTTGTCATTTCAATTTTAAGCTTTCTTAATTTTTCAGTTTCATCTTGCATGAAAATTAGCAGCTCCTTGGATGGATCATCATCCACAAATGTTTTAAAAAGAGCTATAGCTTCAAAAACAATATCTTTTGTTGATACTTTTTTTCTGTTTGTTTGGACTAACGATTTCTTATAACTATCTTAACCTTCTTTTTAATTGTAATTTTTCATTGTTTTCAATCAGAAGAAGATTGACACTGGAGCTAACGCTATTGGTATCATTTAAAATGATGACTCTATCGCCATGTCATGTTCGTGTTTTTAGAATCTTTGGATTGGACAAGCTGCAAAACTGCTTGAACACTATGGCCTTTACTTTATCGAAAATGTTTGATGCAACTGGCAGTTTTGATTATCATCGCAGCATATTTGCATTCTCAATACATTTCTTAAATGTATTACGCATTTGAGTAACAGTAAAGTCCATGTTCTTGTCGTTCATTGCTACTTGCCCCGAACTCTTTAAAACTTTCTCGTATATATTACCGTTCTTTTGGCTTTTGTGTTCGTGAAACTTAATTTTTCTTGTAATATGATAACAATTAATGCCTAACATAAAGTTTTAATTAGAGCTATAGAAATAGACCAAAAGCTGTAAAATTGAATTTATACTGACGTTTCGTCTTTACTCAAGACATATTCAGGCAAGTAATAATTTATAATGAGATTTTAAGACAAGATATTGTATTTACAAAGGTGTTGAATTACGACTAAAGGAGGCGGTGTCAAATGGATTACATGATAAAGAAGTTGGGAAGTAAAATTTAGTGAAGTTAAGAGAGGTTAAGTGGAATGGAACCTCCTTGCACGAAGAGTGAAGGCTTGTATTTATTGATTAGAAGACTCTCATTAATGGAGAGTTCATAGGAATCGTTAGAAGAGGAAATTATTTTAAAGTCGTAAATTATTTATAACATATTCAGAAAGCTCTCGCTCCACAAGGCTTTTAAGCCAATTTCTTTTGAATCACATGATTATTATCTTCAGATTCATCATCAGTGGAGCAGCTACAGACCTAACGTTTGCCTAAGCTACACTAAGAAACACTGCATGAACTAAATGTCGTGAAATGATTTTCCATTCAGGTGATTTGATTGGATGTGTGATTGAATTTATTAAAGGGAAGTGTGCAGCCACTTAATTTGCAGCTCTTGACTTTTCAATATACTCTGCCATTCAATGCAAGTTAAAAGAAGGCTTGAAAAACTATAAACTTGATATATTTTATGTTTTTCTAAATTGCCACATTTTTGAAAACTAAAATCCATTTTTATATTTTTCATGTAACTATGTTGGAATGTGTGTAGTTCTTTTTATCTTCATTACAAAACGAAAAGTTGAAGTTTTTTACGTTCACCACATTCGTGAATAATTTAAAACTTTATTGCCATTCCGTATTGAGATTGTTTCACATCCCTTACACTGCCTCAAAAAAGTATACAAAAGAGCACAGTATAGCAACAAACAAGGCTCCCAATCTGTTGAAATCCTATGTGTAGGGTATATCTTATTAAGCATATGATTACCATGGAGGCGTCAAGCAAATTGTATTTTCTGTCATAGAAAAGCGCTCTTAGGTGGCCAGCCTAAACAATTAATGGAATTAAATGTACAACACTAAGTTGCACATTGAAGTCGTACTACTTTTTTGTAGGTTGTGGAAAGCCAAGGTTCTGTGAGTATTTGACTAAAGTTTTATGTGCAAAGTAATTATTTAATCTTTTATTTCAGTTTCTAACGCTCTGTTTTATTTTATTTAATGACTTCATCATATATAAACATTGATCCCTCCGTTGTT